TTGGGACAGCTGCTGTGCATTTGGTAACATTTGAAACTCTTACAAACAATAGTCACACTAGGTAACGCCTATGGTCTAACTTTAGAATGACACGTCCATGCAGTTCATTTTCCCGATATTCCACAACCGCACCTACTACATGATGTGTGTAAACTTCAAGGACTTTCGATTTGACATTATTGATAGTTCCTCTGTGAAGAAATCGAACAAAGACCTGTACGGCGACGCCCCAGAGGAGTTGGTATGTTTCTCTAATAAATGATAAATGGTAAATGTTATTAAAATGCTCACCATAAAATAGTTATTTTAAACTGATTCAATTCGTTATTTTATTAAGTGTTGTAAGCTGGCTTTGTCAAATGAATATTGACATTTTATAAATAATACATGCATGGTAATTAGTAATTACGCGCATGCATGATAAATTTGTTTAGTAGAGCTGTTTCTAATTTGCTAAATCTGTATGATAACAAATTGAAGAGTAGAGACACTAGTTTTATACAAGGTTCCATGCATGCATTAATGTAAATTTATAAATTCCACATCAGTAGTGTATTCCTGCTTGCATTAATTACTGATGCTATGGGTTTGTGGTACCCAATCTGATATCCTCTTTGATGCAGATCACCTGCCTGGCTACTTACTTGGAGACTGAACGCCTGGGCATGCGTGCCGCGCGCCTAAGGAACATGAAACCCAAAAGGATGCAAATGTCGTGGAGAGACACCACTTCAACATCTGATTCCGGGGTATTCACGATGCGACACATGGAGTCATACCAGGGGCAGGACTGCGCTAGCTGGAATGCTGGTTTGCAAAGGGGGAATGCCATGCAACTAGTTAAACTACGGAAGCGGTACATGCATAACATCTTATTTAGCGTAATGAATAGCCATGCTCATACCATGGTCGCGCGTGTCAGAGAGTTCGATCGGCAGAGAGCGCAGATGCATTAATGAACTAGGAGACCCTCATAGTAACAAAGTACCAGCTCGGGGATAACAAAGTACCAATGTTATTTAGAATAATTAGAAATGTTTTTTTTTTTTTTTATGGAGGAGGTTAGAGTCACAGGCAGTTTTGTGTAGTTTTGCCGTTGTGTTAGAGACATTTTTGAGCAATAAACATATGCTACTCGGGAATTAATAATGAGAATTTATTTTGTGTTTAGGCATGCCTGTAATGAATGGACGTATATTTACACTTCTTCGGATTCGCGGTTCGGACTAAATGTTAGGATCCCATAAGCAGTGGCCATTAAAACACCGTTTGCACACATTGTATTTACCATGATTCCCATAAACAGTGGCCATTAAAACAACATTAGCACACATTATATTTTTTTAGGATCCCATAAGCAGTGACCATGCAAATAATAGTTGCACTTCTTCATATTCACGGTTCGGAATATTTTTAAAAATGGCAGCCTATTTTTTACCTTGCACCCTACCAAAGCAGCATTACAGGTATCCTATATTTGCTAAAACAAGCGAGGGAATAAGTTCATGTACACTAAGACCATTGGGTCTAGATTGATCACAAAACAAAAATGCAATTATAATGCACGCACAATGATCACAATGATTCTGTAATAAAAAACAAATGTTGTTAAGGTAGGCAATTAGCATAAACAAATAATTTAAACAAATCATTCTGTAATAATTTAAAAAAAAAAATTGTTAACGTCACTATGTTGGAATCAACAAATAATTTAAACTGGGGAAATTAAACACACAAACAGTGAATAAAAGTGTAATAGGGAACTAGTGATTTTATGGTGGACCATTGTCACTTTAACGGACAACTACGAGCATTATGGTGGGCGTACTTCCCACAAATTCCGCACTTTCGGCCAATCTTAACACTTTTCTCGATGGCCAGTTCCCGACTACTCTTAATACGCTTTCCAGTACCTTTATTTTTCGCTTGAGCGGGTGCTTTGATTGTTATAATTTGTGGCGGCTGTACACCACACAATGCTTGAATCGCAGCACGATTACCCGTAATAGGGTCCATAGTACCACCATCATTCGCAAATTCCATAATAAGTCCCTTCAGTACTTCGACCATGCGAGCCTCCCGCTCTGTGCTATTGCCCACCAACCCAACACACGCGTTTATCTCAGCCCACAGTTGGATGGCTCCGGATGCTGGCCGCCCACTCGTCGACGTTTCAGCACTACATTCACCACAGGTAAGATGTTTGCACCAACGTTTCATGATGTATTTCGACGGTAACGTCTCCAATTCGGCAACTCGAAAAACAAGGAACATATGCCTACAAACCAGCCCAATCCTTTGAAATAGCTTGCAACTGCATGATGTGTTCTGCACATTTGGCTCGTGGTGCACGGTGAAAATAGTATTGCATTCGCCTTTGATGTCGTAATGGATGCCCCCACCGTCCTCACGGATTCCCACGACGTAGCAATAAAAGCAAGCAGCTTCGATCTCCTTTTGTATCTCGTAAAAAATAGTTATCGTGAATAGCTGCGCAACATGACGCTCAAGCGCTAGAGGTGTTTTAAACTCTGGCAGGTAACCCTCACACTCTGCGTTCAGTTTGGCTTGTCGGTAGCGTTGCATTTCAAGCACACTCTCAAACTGCATGTAGAACTCTACCAAACTCGAATGGGGGCGTGTGAATTTACCATAAACACCATTCTCTGCTTCTGAACGGGAGGTGGTTCGTAACAACCCACTCATGGGCAAATCTGCAAAATATGCCGGTATCCAACTCTCCCTTTCCGTGTATAGTTTGCAAAACCAACGGTGGTCTGACAACTTGTAATCATCCATTAATTTTTGCCATTGCAGCTCAAATTCAGTGGTATGGAGCCTCTCGTTCCACACGATACCATTTAATCTCGTGCGAAACTTTTCGTCCTTAGCTAACTCACTCCCAAGCTTTTCGTTAACTTTGGTCATGATGTGCCACATACAAAAGCGATGGAGACACTCCGATAAAACTTGTTTGATAGCGATTCTCATTGCTGGGTCCTGGTCGGTCACAACACACGATGGGGTCTTTCCCATTGCGCATTTAAATTTCTCCAATAGCCAACTATATGAGTCTACATCCTCCTTGGTGAGCAACCCGGCTGCGAAGGTGATGCATCGTTTGTGGTTGTCCACCCCGGTGAATGGAACAAACACCATACTGTACCTGTACAATTACAAATTAAGCATAAGTTGTTAGAAAAGTAAAGGGGTTAGTGTTCCACAATTTGCTGTGTTAATAACTAAGCCCAGCATATTCAAAACCATCTAAATAAAAGGTAATATAGATGGGATAGTCTGGATGATAGTAAAGTACACTAACTGCAATGCATATGTAGATCAGTGCATCTCATTATTTAAACCCAAAACAAGTTTACTGCATCCCTCATCAGTAATGACTAATTATATTATGACTTTATGGAATGTGTTATATATGCTCCACGCCCTCTAACTGGAAACAAAATAATAATCAGAGTCATGGAACCCCATACCTGTTTGTCCCATAGGTTGCATCGAACGAGATAATATCACCGTAGCAAGAAAATGCTCGCCTACCGGTGGGGTCAGCCCAAAAAAGACGCGCTAGCCGCCCCTCATCGTCAAGGTGGTATTCATAAAAGAACTCATTGCAGACTTCCTTCTGTATTTTGAACTTCTCAATGATCATCTCCCCATCGCCGACATCAACATACATTTGCAGGTCACGTCTAAAATTCTGGAATTCCACGTTAGTTGCACCTACATTCGCGTATGAACCTGTCATCTCCTTGCAAAGCCGTAAGCTTTTTGAACCACCGATGTTAGCCTTAATACAGTTTCCCAAAAATGCCTGTTGTGCCACATCGAGCCCCCGGTTTAATCGCAGAAATTGTTTAGAAGACTCGGAACACAATTGGTGGGTATGCTCCTCAACGAAAACAGACACAATGAACTCCCCAGAGCTATGCTTCCTCAAACAGATCTTGGCTTTGCATTTAACTCGGTTAGAAATCCTACGACGACGCTCCCTGGTCTTTCCATTGCTGCATTCAGGTCCACGTTCTAACCTACCACCACCTTTGACACCTTGTCGGCTGCACAATAAATACCGCATGTAAGTTACCCCATGTCGGTCTCGCTTCGTTGAACTCTTTCGGACGTCAAATCCGCTTAAGCGTGCGTACTTCATGTAGAACAGGACACCTTCGGACAGCGTTTTAAATTGGCGTCCAACCACAGGCACTAGGTGATCATCCACGGCGGGCCTCCACTGTTCGGGGTGTGCATCTAGTAAACCGGCGTTGTCGTTCTCGGGCGTTGTCATCGTCTTGCGTTCGATTGTTGCAGTGCGCCGTATACGGAATACCAAAATGGCGTACAATAATCGGTACGAACGGAACAAAAAAACCAGGATATATAGTTCCTCTCGAACTTCTTTTCAAAGGCGGCAAAAGTCCAAGATTCTGGAAGAATGGATAAAAACAACGATGTAGTTATATTGAACTTCTATTCACATGCGGAAAAAGCGGCATTCGGATTGTGCAGTTGTAGTACATGTGACAAGGTGCACCGTAGTACGATGGGTAGCACATTAAAGACCGTTTGATGCATCACACCAACGAACCATAGCAGTCCACAAATTCACACGTTAAATATGGTGTGCACCTGAATAATATTCAGGTGCACACCATATTTAACGTGTGAATTTGTGGACTGCTATGGTTCGTTGGTGTGATGCATCAAACGGTCTTTAATGTGCTACCCATCGTACTACGGTGCACCTTGTCACATGTACTACAACTGCACAATCCGAATGCCGCTTTTTCCGCATGTGAATAGAAGTTCAATATAACTACATCGTTGTTTTTATCCATTCTTCCAGAATCTTGGACTTTTGCCGCCTTTGAAAAGAAGTTCGAGAGGAACTATATATCCTGGTTTTTTTGTTCCGTTCGTACCGATTATTGTACGCCATTTTGGTATTCCGTATACGGCGCACTGCAACAATCGAACGCAAGACGATGACAACGCCCGAGAACGACAACGCCGGTTTACTAGATGCACACCCCGAACAGTGGAGGCCCGCCGTGGATGATCACCTAGTGCCTGTGGTTGGACGCCAATTTAAAACGCTGTCCGAAGGTGTCCTGTTCTACATGAAGTACGCACGCTTAAGCGGATTTGACGTCCGAAAGAGTTCAACGAAGCGAGACCGACATGGGGTAACTTACATGCGGTATTTATTGTGCAGCCGACAAGGTGTCAAAGGTGGTGGTAGGTTAGAACGTGGACCTGAATGCAGCAATGGAAAGACCAGGGAGCGTCGTCGTAGGATTTCTAACCGAGTTAAATGCAAAGCCAAGATCTGTTTGAGGAAGCATAGCTCTGGGGAGTTCATTGTGTCTGTTTTCGTTGAGGAGCATACCCACCAATTGTGTTCCGAGTCTTCTAAACAATTTCTGCGATTAAACCGGGGGCTCGATGTGGCACAACAGGCATTTTTGGGAAACTGTATTAAGGCTAACATCGGTGGTTCAAAAAGCTTACGGCTTTGCAAGGAGATGACAGGTTCATACGCGAATGTAGGTGCAACTAACGTGGAATTCCAGAATTTTAGACGTGACCTGCAAATGTATGTTGATGTCGGCGATGGGGAGATGATCATTGAGAAGTTCAAAATACAGAAGGAAGTCTGCAATGAGTTCTTTTATGAATACCACCTTGACGATGAGGGGCGGCTAGCGCGTCTTTTTTGGGCTGACCCCACCGGTAGGCGAGCATTTTCTTGCTACGGTGATATTATCTCGTTCGATGCAACCTATGGGACAAACAGGTATGGGGTTCCATGACTCTGATTATTATTTTGTTTCCAGTTAGAGGGCGTGGAGCATATATAACACATTCCATAAAGTCATAATATAATTAGTCATTACTGATGAGGGATGCAGTAAACTTGTTTTGGGTTTAAATAATGAGATGCACTGATCTACATATGCATTGCAGTTAGTGTACTTTACTATCATCCAGACTATCCCATCTATATTACCTTTTATTTAGATGGTTTTGAATATGCTGGGCTTAGTTATTAACACAGCAAATTGTGGAACACTAACCCCTTTACTTTTCTAACAACTTATGCTTAATTTGTAATTGTACAGGTACAGTATGGTGTTTGTTCCATTCACCGGGGTGGACAACCACAAACGATGCATCACCTTCGCAGCCGGGTTGCTCACCAAGGAGGATGTAGACTCATATAGTTGGCTATTGGAGAAATTTAAATGCGCAATGGGAAAGACCCCATCGTGTGTTGTGACCGACCAGGACCCAGCAATGAGAATCGCTATCAAACAAGTTTTATCGGAGTGTCTCCATCGCTTTTGTATGTGGCACATCATGACCAAAGTTAACGAAAAGCTTGGGAGTGAGTTAGCTAAGGACGAAAAGTTTCGCACGAGATTAAATGGTATCGTGTGGAACGAGAGGCTCCATACCACTGAATTTGAGCTGCAATGGCAAAAATTAATGGATGATTACAAGTTGTCAGACCACCGTTGGTTTTGCAAACTATACACGGAAAGGGAGAGTTGGATACCGGCATATTTTGCAGATTTGCCCATGAGTGGGTTGTTACGAACCACCTCCCGTTCAGAAGCAGAGAATGGTGTTTATGGTAAATTCACACGCCCCCATTCGAGTTTGGTAGAGTTCTACATGCAGTTTGAGAGTGTGCTTGAAATGCAACGCTACCGACAAGCCAAACTGAACGCAGAGTGTGAGGGTTACCTGCCAGAGTTTAAAACACCTCTAGCGCTTGAGCGTCATGTTGCGCAGCTATTCACGATAACTATTTTTTACGAGATACAAAAGGAGATCGAAGCTGCTTGCTTTTATTGCTACGTCGTGGGAATCCGTGAGGACGGTGGGGGCATCCATTACGACATCAAAGGCGAATGCAATACTATTTTCACCGTGCACCACGAGCCAAATGTGCAGAACACATCATGCAGTTGCAAGCTATTTCAAAGGATTGGGCTGGTTTGTAGGCATATGTTCCTTGTTTTTCGAGTTGCCGAATTGGAGACGTTACCGTCGAAATACATCATGAAACGTTGGTGCAAACATCTTACCTGTGGTGAATGTAGTGCTGAAACGTCGACGAGTGGGCGGCCAGCATCCGGAGCCATCCAACTGTGGGCTGAGATAAACGCGTGTGTTGGGTTGGTGGGCAATAGCACAGAGCGGGAGGCTCGCATGGTCGAAGTACTGAAGGGACTTATTATGGAATTTGCGAATGATGGTGGTACTATGGACCCTATTACGGGTAATCGTGCTGCGATTCAAGCATTGTGTGGTGTACAGCCGCCACAAATTATAACAATCAAAGCACCCGCTCAAGCGAAAAATAAAGGTACTGGAAAGCGTATTAAGAGTAGTCGGGAACTGGCCATCGAGAAAAGTGTTAAGATTGGCCGAAAGTGCGGAATTTGTGGGAAGTACGCCCACCATAATGCTCGTAGTTGTCCGTTAAAGTGACAATGGTCCACCATAAAATCACTAGTTCCCTATTACACTTTTATTCACTGTTTGTGTGTTTAATTTCCCCAGTTTAAATTATTTGTTGATTCCAACATAGTGACGTTAACAATTTTTTTTTTAAATTATTACAGAATGATTTGTTTAAATTATTTGTTTATGCTAATTGCCTACCTTAACAACATTTGTTTTTTATTACAGAATCATTGTGATCATTGTGCGTGCATTATAATTGCATTTTTGTTTTGTGATCAATCTAGACCCAATGGTCTTAGTGTACATGAACTTATTCCCTCGCTTGTTTTAGCAAATATAGGATACCTGTAATGCTGCTTTGGTAGGGTGCAAGGTAAAAAATAGGCTGCCATTTTTAAAAATATTCCGAACCGTGAATATGAAGAAGTGCAACTATTATTTGCATGGTCACTGCTTATGGGATCCTAAAAAAATATAATGTGTGCTAATGTTGTTTTAATGGCCACTGTTTATGGGAATCATGGTAAATACAATGTGTGCAAACGGTGTTTTAATGGCCACTGCTTATGGGATCCTAACATTTAGTCCGAACCGCGAATCCGAAGAAGTGTAAATATACGTCCATTCATTACAGGCATGCCTAAACACAAAATAAATTCTCATTATTAATTCCCGAGTAGCATATGTTTATTGCTCAAAAATGTCTCTAACACAACGGCAAAACTACACAAAACTGCCTGTGACTCTAACCTCCTCCATAAAAAAAAAAAAAAACATTTCTAATTATTCTAAATAACATTGGTACTTTGTTATCCCCGAGCTGGTACTTTGTTACTATGAGGGTCTCCTAGTTCATTAATGCATCTGCGCTCTCTGCCGATCGAACTCTCTGACACGCGCGACCATGGTATGAGCATGGCTATTCATTACGCTAAATAAGATGTTATGCATGTACCGCTTCCGTAGTTTAACTAGTTGCATGGCATTCCCCCTTTGCAAACCAGCATTCCAGCTAGCGCAGTCCTGCCCCTGGTATGACTCCATGTGTCGCATCGTGAATACCCCGGAATCAGATGTTGAAGTGGTGTCTCTCCACGACATTTGCATCCTTTTGGGTTTCATGTTCCTTAGGCGCGCGGCACGCATGCCCAGGCGTTCAGTCTCCAAGTAAGTAGCCAGGCAGGTGATCTGCATCAAAGAGGATATCAGATTGGGTACCACAAACCCATAGCATCAGTAATTAATGCAAGCAGGAATACACTACTGATGTGGAATTTATAAATTTACATTAATGCATGCATGGAACCTTGTATAAAACTAGTGTCTCTACTCTTCAATTTGTTATCATACAGATTTAGCAAATTAGAAACAGCTCTACTAAACAAATTTATCATGCATGCGCGTAATTACTAATTACCATGCATGTATTATTTATAAAATGTCAATATTCATTTGACAAAGCCAGCTTACAACACTTAATAAAATAACGAATTGAATCAGTTTAAAATAACTATTTTATGGTGAGCATTTTAATAACATTTACCATTTATCATTTATTAGAGAAACATACCAACTCCTCTGGGGCGTCGCCGTACAGGTCTTTGTTCGATTTCTTCACAGAGGAACTATCAATAATGTCAAATCGAAAGTCCTTGAAGTTTACACACATCATGTAGTAGGTGCGGTTGTGGAATATCGGGAAAATGAACTGCATGGACGTGTCATTCTAAAGTTAGACCATAGGCGTTACCTAGTGTGACTATTGTTTGTAAGAGTTTCAAATGTTACCAAATGCACAGCAGCTGTCCCAACAAGGCCCATACTCTGCAGAACCGTATCCATCCGCTTCCCAAACCAGTTTGCCCTCTCCTCCCAGCTGGATGAAACGCCAACAACAGTCCCGATCTGCATAATTCTAACAGAAATCAATAACGGTTTTATTATAGCATACCAGAGGGTGTGTAACAAGGGCACATACCGTCATGGTGGTTGGGAGAAAAAGGCGGTTCAGGCCTTCCATTCCCTTTGCTTTTTCCCGGGCGTTCATGACCCAGCACCATGCATCAACCACAGTCTTGGACACATTTGTCACCTCTTGTAGCGTTTGGAATTGTGCCCACCTCACCGTTCGATCGGCATGTTGGAACAACACCTCATCGCTAAATACCACCAAGCATAATGTTAGAGTGAAACACAAAAGCCCAAAACCACTGGGAACAACTATAAATTGCAACTAAGAGACTATTAGATGCACCAAGTCCGCTTACCGGTCACCATGCGAGCAACCGAATATCCACATCCAAACGACATACACATGCGGGAGGGGAATAGCCGGGTAACCATATATGGTGTCGAAAAAAATGCCATTTGATCGGTCTCTCTGAATGAGTGGGGCCTCCCCTATTCGATTTGGGACGTCCTCCCTCCGCAGAGCTCCGATTGGCGCACTAGGCCGAGGTGTGGCACCCCCCCGCTGTGCTCGAACAAGTACCTGCAACCATTAGTCCAAATTAACATCCACAATTATACTAGTGTGCCCATTTTCAAGTGTATACCTGAGGTGGTGTCCTAGCGATATCCGACTGGTGGCTCGTTTTTTCCCCCTGATTCTGAGTGGCTAGCTCTTGTGTCATCCCTAGGCTAAAACTAGGCACATCAGACATACCGACAGTGCTTGTCGCGGCCAACTCAGCACGATCCAGCTCCCTCAAGAACCCTTCATCATGCCAAAGAGGTTCATCGTTGCGTCCAGGCGACGTGACCGGCAGTGCAGTTTCTTGGTGGGCCGGTGTATCACCTTGCCTCGATGACTCCTTCACAAGTCCTTCCAAGAGTTTCACTACATCACTCACCCTGTTAAAGTTCGTGTCTTCCCATGCTTGTTTGGGGTGCTGGGTAACCAGTGCAACAACCCGTGCAGCCAATGATAGCAAGCGACCAGTAACTGCTGCAAACTCATCACCAAACCCCTGCACCACCAGACCAAAACATTAATGTTCAAACGCAACTAAGTACCACTGAACCCACGATAACACCCCCCCCCCCTAGCCTGCTTGATAAAATGCATACCCCATGTGGGCTTGAGGCAGGGGCAGAATCAAACACGTGATGTTGGGGGCTGGATTGCGGTGCACATGTGTATGATGCACTAAGAGGAATATCCACCTGGCCACGTCCAAACCCCCCAGAGTCTACCTCACTACACTCGCGTGCTTTGATGGAACCTGTGGTCCGCCCGTCGATCAACGGGATCCTCCTTGGCAAATCGCGTATGCCAACTGGTACCCTATCCATATACAAAAGCTGGTGCAAAGACAAATGCACAGTTATACGCAATGGTAGTACACACACCTGGACGCAACACCCAGCAACGAATTTAACTTACCACCAAAAATAGTAGTGGCCCGGTGAATTTGCGAGCTGAATCCTTAGTCCAGTTCCCATGGGTAGACACCAACGAGCGCAATAGGTACCCGCACCAGTCCAAGTCTTTAATCGTGTCTACCTTACTCAACATGTGAACAATATTCTGGTTCGCATAGCCGTTCGGGTTGCTAGCAACCAAGGTGCTGACCGCGATAACACTGAAATGGATTTTGAACCACGGCCCGCCCTCCCTAAGTTCCTTGACCTGCTTGCACAAAGACCTGACTGTGATTCTCCCCTTCCGTTGTTTCACCTCGTCCCTCCAGGCCCGCAACTCGGGGCTCACAACCTGAGTATCCCGCTCCGAAATGGGTATATGTCCATCCGGGAGTCCCAAAACAGCCGCGACATCCTCCTTGGTGACAACAATGTAGCGATGATCACCCAGGTCAAGCCTCATTTTAGTCGGGTCAAAGTTAGTGACCAACCAATGTCCCAACCGTAGCGGTAGCTCAGTAATCTGAAATCCCAAAAGAGCTCCCAAACCAACACTAATAACATCTTGCCTTTGCCTCGATGTTAGCGCATCCACGAGGTTTGCTAGTTCCTTTGGCGATCCATTCATGTTGATCAACGGGAACTGGTCCCCCACATTTGCATGCCCCGCACGCGGCACTCCCCGCACTCCACCCTCGTTCAAGACCAGCGGCGGGGTGTGGAACTCTTCATCCGACCCACTACCCCCGTCACTTACAAGCACTGGTTGGCGGAGATTACAACCTGCACAAAAAATGTTGGCCAATGAACAACCCGGGATTAAAAAATAGTCATAGTACTGAATTCTCAAACGTAATAGCATCAACCCATTAAAAAAAATGAGGTGATTACAATGCTACATGCTTGCCAACAAATTACAGGAGTGAAGACCCAATAAAAAACGCAGAACGCAGAACGCACAGGGTTAGAAGTTGAATCACACCAATATTTCCAACCAATCACCCCTCCACCGGGTCAAACAAAAATTAAAAAATAAAAACGCAGAACTAACCTCTTTGACCCCAACGTTGCGTCGACCTCAACCGTGCAGCCACCCTTGACACTACCCCAGCCGCTGCCCGACCGGAACCGCCGCGTCCGCCGGAGCTAGGGGTCCGGCGATGCGATCGCCGTTTAAAGGGTCTGGAGGGGGGAGTTGTGGGCATTAATTGATGGCTGGTCCTACCACGGTTAGAGCGGCGGCCACCATTCGATTTCGTCATGAGCACACGCGGTAACAAATTGAACGACAGATCGAAGGAAACCCAAACACGGATTTGGAGCAGAGGAAAACCAAGAACGGATTTGGAGCAGTGGTAGAACCTTTATCAGGCTACACGACTAAGCCTGATAATAATAAAATTGTTAAACCTCCTTAACAGGGCAAAGATATAGTGCTGCAGGTGCTACGGCGTATTGTGCACCATAGATCGCATCCGTCCATATTAAAAAAAAGGAACGGGTGATAACAGTGCACAAATACACAAGTTAGGCAAAGTCCGCACCTGAATAACATTCTATATATATATATATAGAATCGCACTCAGGTGCGAATGCTTCGCCCAGGCGCAAAATAGGAATGGATTCTGTCCGTCCACGTGTCCAGATCTAATGGATGAGAA